AGAACAATTAAAACACTATTATCTAATGTCAACATGTTTGTAAATAGAAATAGAAATATGAATGTTGACAGTGCATGGCAGTATATATTTGTAAAGTGTTCTTCTAGGTGACCCAGAATATGCTTATGTTCATTCATTTTGTATTATTCCATGAGAGTTGCCTAGGTTACAGTGAAAGCAAGAAGAGGAATACAGTTCATACATGAGATTCAGTTTAAAGAGAATATAGCTGATGACAAACTGTGACTGCAGAATCATTTAAGAAAAAAGAGCCAGCGATATTTGGTTTCTAAATGTACCGTGGCAATCCACTATTACTTAGCTGAGGTTACTGAGGAAGTCAGAGGGAGTGAATTGGACAATCTACAAATCAAAGCACACTATAAATTATAGAAGTTACAGAACCTGATTAATATTATTGGTCTTGTAGCTAGTATGAAACCAAAGAGGCACTAAAATATCAACATATAAACAATATTTATTATTATTATTATTTAAAACATTGTACTTCATGTTTTTTCTTCCACATTAGGTAGCCATTTTCCTCCTTTAAATGAGTATATTTTATGTTTTTGATTTGATTCAATTTAATTTTTTTCTATTTCATTAAATTGGGTTATATGGAAGATAAATGAGTCAGAAGAGAATTACAATGGACTCACTTGCTGAAAGCTTCAAGTGAAGTAAGAATGGAGTGTAGTCATTTGATTCTATATATTCTTCCGGCTTGGAAACTTGCTATTTTGAGATTTCATGACTAAACAGACACAAAAGAATTGCTTAGCATTGAGTTGTAGTAATGTAAGTAAGAAGGTGTGAATCTGAACAAAGGATGATGTTAGAAATGGTCAAAGTTTGGTGACTTCTACAGATGTTAAGGAGATATAATTCTCATGGCATTTTCACTGATCAGATTTTTAAGGAAAAAAAGAGCAAGGATGTACCACAATGCTGCCATTCACAAAATGGAGTCTCTCTCTCTCTCTCTCTCTCTCTCTCTCTCTCTCTCTCTCTCTCTCTCTCTCTCTCTCTCTCTCTCTCTCTTTCTCTGTGTGTGTGCACGTGTGTGCGCGTGTGTGTGCGTGCGCGCGGCGCGCGCGCACGCACACACACGCTCACACACGAACACACGAACACACACCCCAAATCAACCAAACACACAAACACTTCTTTTTAAAGTTTTTTCCTAAGTATTCAGTTGGAATTGTCACAGGAAAAGACTAGTAAGCAGTATTTGACAAATTATTAAGTACAGAAATATGTCACAATATACACTCCTAAAAACACCTTTCTTCACGTAGGAAAGAAAATAGAAGTGTAAAGAAATGATAGCTAAAAGGATGAAAAAACATCCTGGCCCACAGGCCAAATCTGGACAAGTACCATTTTCATATATATACTTGAAAGGGGACTTATGTTTTAAATGGTTAAAGAAATACCCCAAAGAATGATTTCAAAACACAATGAATGGAATAGAATTCAAATGCCAAAGTATATAAATTTCTAATAGAAAACAACCTTGCTCACTGTGTACAAATTATGGCTGCTTTGGGAG